CAGCCGTCGTCATGTTACACAACTAGGCCGGCATCCCCTCGGACTCGAGTAAAACACGGCTTGTCCGGTTCTCCTTCGCCCGACCTTTGACTGTTCATCACTTCTCATATTATCCCTGTCTCCTCTTCTCGACATGAAGCTAAAAAGGCTTCTATTGTGGATCTTGGACTCACACTTGCACAGCCCGATGGCTGTTGTCAAGTCTCTTGCGGCTTATGATATTGGCTAGGCGGCGATCGAGCTCGATAGCCTATCTCGCATTGCCCAATTCTCCCCCAATCCCTTTCACTGGGCGTCCCGAAACATCGGGATGACTTCCACCTATGGCTTGCGGCTATGAATTCATCCCGTGGGTTCTGACACCAATCAAACATCAGCTTGTTCAAGAAGCGTTCTTTTCTCCATTGACCGCTACTTGGATATCTGTTTCTGTTCTCGACTCTACCTCTCCATGCGAGTTCCCGTGCCTGTCATCATCTAACATGTCTCATATGGTTGACTGTGAATTCACATACCCTCTGCTTTTAATCTCACCCTCTGTACGCGCCGCCCCTTCCAGTGTCATAGCAAACGTATCACATCCCTCTACAGCTTGTTCACAAGTCCTCGCGAGGACTTGAGCTGAACCATCTTCTCAAGAGCTTCGTCAATAGGAACCAGCTCACCCTTTGCCTGGGTGGCTTGGTCGTCTCGGTTACGGATGTTGAGGGTGCGTGAGCTGGCCTCCTCGGCACCGACAACTATACAATCTGGTTAGCCATTTGCCTTAAACAAGGCAGCTTCCATTCCAAACTCACCAAAGATAAAGTTGTACTGCTCCAGCTGACCGGTGCGGATCTTCTTCTGGAAAGTGTTGCTGCTCAGGTCCACATCACTGTAGAGCCCCTTGGCTCGGAAGATCTGCTGAACCTCCTTGGCGTAGTCGTTGGCAGCAGGCATGACAGGTACAACCAAGACCTGTCGCGGGCTGAGCCAGAATGGCCACTTGCCGCCAAAGTGCTCGGTCAGAATACCAAACATTCGCTCGAAGCTGCCTAGAACAGCTCGGTGAATCATGACAGGTCGTGCGTATCCGGCAGGTAGATCCTCCTTGGGGTTGCTACCATCACTGACTCCAGTCTCGCCCTTGTTAGCGACATATCGAAGCTTGAATCGTCGAGGCAGGTTGAAATCGAGCTGCATAGTACCACATTGGTGCTCACGCTTCAGAGCGTCGAACAGAGCAATATCGATCTTGGGTCCATAGAAAGCACCATCACCGGGGTTAAACTCCCACTTAGCACCCGTCTTCTCGGAGAATGAGTTGAGAGCCTCTTCAAGCTTCTTCTCGGCGGAGTCCCAGGTAGCGATATCACCGACGTACTTCTCGGGTCGGGTGGACAGCTTAAGCTTGAACGTGAAACCGAAGATGCCGTAAACACTGCTCAAAAAGTCGAAGGCTGATTCAATTTCCTCTCGGATCTAGAGCACATTAGTAGAAGCGCGAGTCAGTTAGTAGAAGCCATCATACCTGATCCACGGTACAGAAGATGTGAGCATCGTCCTGTTGGAAACGACGGACTCGAGTAAGACCTGAAAGAGCCCCGGAGAACTCGTTTCGGTGCAAAACACCAAAATCGGCCATCCTCCAGGGGAGGTCCTTATAAGTGACATCAGAGTGGGCAAAGATCTTGCAGTGTCCAGGGCAGTTCATGGGCTTCAGCCCAAACTTCTCCTTCTCAACCTCGAAGGTGAACATGTTCTCCTCGTAGTGGCCCCAGTGTCCTGATGTCTTCCACAAATCCGCCTTGTACATGTTTGGAGACATAACTTCGTCGAATTCGCGTTTTTGGTACTCGCCTTTGATGAGCTCCATCAAAGCATTGTAGATGCGCACACCGTGTGGCAAGAAGAAAGCAGATCCAGGAGACGCCTCGTCGAAGAAGAAGAGCTTTTGATCAGTACCGATCTTTCGATGATTGCGCTTGGCGGCCTCGGCCAGGAAGTGCTTGTACTCTTCAAGAGCCTTCTTGTCGGGGAATGAGATACCAGCAATACGCTGGACAGACTCGTTGTTGCTGTCGCCAAGCCAGTAGGCAGCGGAATTCTGTTGAACATCAGCTCAAGCCCGTCGCGTCAAGACTGGGAGTTGTATATATCATATCGACATACCCTGAGAACGGAAAAGGCCTTGATGTTGCCAGTGGTGGGGACGTGAGGTCCTCGGCACAGATCGATCAGGGGACCGCATCGGTATACAGTACTCTTGGTGCCGTCGGGAACACGCTGTTGAATGAAATACTCCTTGTACTTGCTGTACTTGAACATCTCAAGGAGCTCGTCCTTGGTCATTTCCAGACGCTCGAAAGGCTGCTTCTGTTTGACAATGTTGTTGGAGAGCTGCTCGAGGGCCTTCTTATCCTCATCAGTGACGACTTGTCTAGGGCCTATGTCAGTAAAACCTCCAGCAATTTATTCGAAGCCTTCTACGCACTCTCCCATGTTGGCCATATCGTAGTAGAATCCAGGGGGGTCTTCAGTAGGGGGGCCGTTGCATAGATAACAACCAAAGCGTTTCTCGGCAGCCTCTCCAAGAATATGGGCTGAAGAGTGCCAGAAGACCTTCTTGCCTTCGGTGTGTTCAAAGTCAAGGAGCTCGAGCTTGCAGCTCTTCTCGAGCGGTCGGGTCAGATCCCACAACTCACCGTCAACTCTGGAGATGACAGTGCGCTCGAAAAGAGACTTGGAGATGCCCTTGGCGATAGCGCCAGGGGTGGTCTCCCAGGAAGTTCCCTTCTCCTCTTTGCCATTGGGAAGCGAGATGGTGATTTCCTCGCGAGGTTTGGCTATCATTCTTGTCAGTCGATTCGATCCGAGGGACGGAAGCGTGAGGAGGATTTGGATTTGGATCACCCACCAGCGATTTCGGCATCCTGTCGGGCTTTGATCTTATCGAAGAGATCGAGTCGGTGCTGGATGAACTCGGGGGTCTCGGGGAGCTATCATACACAGTTAGTAGGTTCCAAAACGGTGTCATGTACACCGCAGTCAAGAAAGGGACACCAACTTCGAGGCCAGCAGACTTTCCACCCTTGGCAGACTTATCCTTGGGCTGTTTCTCCTTGGGCTGCTTCGCAGGGCGAGAAGGCAAGCTCTTCTCAGACGTGCCCTCGGCCGCCTTGGCAGCATCAGCTTGATCGGACGACATGTTGAGAACTCTCGCTCGGATGTTGAAAATTTAGTGGGAGGAAGTTGGGTACTCGAAAGCGGTCTTGTCTTGTCTTATCTTGTCGATGGCGGGGCACAAGGGGCATTAAACACGAAGGTGGGGTTAGAATTGAGTCACTGCGAATTTGGCAGGGGGGCACGGGAATAGTACCGTTTGGTTGGGCACTTTTAGTATCACGAGATGTAGCCTTATAGGCTTGCCTACTAAGGTAGAAATGCCATTGATGTATCAATTCTTCTGGCCAAGTTCAGAATACTTATTTGCTGTATTCTAACGTGCCCCAGCAAATTGGGTTCCTCTTAAACAATAGTCACATGCCGAAGGCCGAAACCCAGTCTCTTCGTCCCCTTCAGCTCACTCACACGACACTTGGACAGTAGAGTCAGACCGAACAATATGTACCACGCAATGAAACTCATAGTGACCAATACAGAAGGACTCGATCCAATTCCGACATCGCAGGTATTTGACTCAGTCACAATAATCATCAACAATAATCTTGTCCTAGGTAAATCAGGGGTATCAAGCGGTTTTCCAACCTAGCAATCCGTAACGCCATGCCATCCCGTTTCCATGTCATAAATCAAGCCAAACCCGCATTCGTAAACAAGAAAGAAACTGGCAGTATTCAAAGTCCATAGCGGGTGACACACTCTTCCTTATGCGCCTCCAAACAATCCAGTGCGCAGACTCTTGTTCCGCACTTCATGCACCTCACACGCCCCCAATACCCGCAGACCTCACAGAACGATCTAACGGGATACCTGGTGTCTCTATGTCCCGTCACTTCGCCATAGTTCAATGGAGGGTGGGAAAGGAGCCTGCGCAGCTCCTCATCGGATGGCATGTCGGGAACACGCGACACAAGCAAAGGATCGTTGTCGCCAGGGTGGCTCGGTGGTGAAGGTCTCCATGATTCGGGAAGAACAGTCGGAGCATCAGCGTCGGCCATCGCTATGTCTTCTTCTTGTGGTGGTTTGGAGGATGAGGGAGTATCTCTTCGACTATTCGATGGCCGTTTGTTGTTTGCGCCAGAGGCAGCGGACCGAGAGTTCGTAGGGTTGGCCTCTGCAAGTGCCTGCATCGCGAGGAAATCGTCCAAGTGGTTCCCGAATGTCTTCTGCGATTGAAGAATCTTACGAACATTAGGTGTGTGTTTTGCTTGCGCTGCCAAGAGTCAATTTCTCGTCTTTCACATGATGCTGAGGTCTGGCGCATACTTCTTCCGCCCTTGACTGGCAACGGTATTGTGTTATCCTTTCCGCCATCTTTATCTAAAGCCTCGGCTTCCTTTCGAATTTTATTATCTTGTCGAGCCGTCAAATCGCTATATGTAAGACCAGGAATATTCCTGGCGCGCTTCCTGTTGGTTGGCGCTGTCGGGCGAGTGATTGTATTGTCGGGGACATAAGCCCAGCCTGGCGCCGAGGTTGTCTTTGCGCTGGCAAGCTCGATGACCCCGAAATTGTTCATCGTTCTTTATAATTCGATATTATGAGTAGAAGAAAAATTAGAGTATGACAAAGAGAGAGAGTGTGTGTGTATCAAGCACCTCCATAGAAAATCCACACTGAACCGCTGGTCTTGTGACATAGCCAATCACGAGCCAGAAAGCTCGAAGAGCACACTCCAATTCCAGCCGAGCTCAGAATATTCCGAGCACCCGGCTCCGATAGTAGCTCTGTCGTAACTGTACCTCTGACGTCCATTGCCATCAATACCATAGTACCTACCTATTGCTCCCGCGAGATAAACACCGCACAATCCAACGTCCACCACCGCAATCGCAGCAATGTCTTTCGCCTCAAGAGCCCTGTTCTCCAGCAGCCGCGCGCTGGCTACCCGATCCTTCAGCACATCTGCCCGACGCATGGCCGATTCGCCTCTCCCTGCCAGGAAACCACTGGGAGCTTTCCGTGGAGGGTTAGTGATGACAGAAACACTCTTTCGACGGAAATAACGTTGTTAACTTTGTTTTCAGTCTTTTTGGCTTCCTTCTCGGTAGCTTTCTCGCTGGCAGCGCCTCCTACAGCTATCTCCTCAAGGAGTACAAGATCGCCAACGACCTGTTGACCGAGGATATTTATGTGCGTAACGGATGAGATGAGGCAATTGATAAGAGAGAGCCTCACCTAAGTTTCCTCCAATATCAGTCGCTTGCCCAGGTGCTAATATTGTTCGACCAGACTCTACAAGCCTCCGTCACCCGTCTGAGCAACCAGGTCCAGGCTCTGGAGACCAGGACACAGGGCAAGAAATAGACGGGGAAAACGGGATAAAGACATTAATGTGTAAAACAGTCGGAGCCAAGGGGGTACAGTGAGCTCCGTTGGGTCTCTGGTGGACGTGTTGAAATGAGGATGGCTCCCATTTGCATTTCCTGTTAGTGTTTGGGTCTGAGATTGTCATCAAGACGATTGGGGAGATTTGTACGATCATGTGCCATGTTGCGAGCATACCTACAAGCCCAATCAAAAAGATACCATGTGGTCTGTGTAAGAGAAACGTCAAGGTCACGGTGAAGCTGAGACAGAGATCAAAATAGTAGTCAAGTCATGAAATGGTCCCATTGCCACGAAAACTAAAACCTAGAGAGGTGCATTCAAATGTGAGCACCAAAAAGAACCCGCGCCCCAAAAAAAAAATCAGATATACCCCATTTTGTGTACTATCATTGTTGTTGACATCAATTCTTTACAGCTCATCATGGACATCCTCCTCCTCGGCATCCTTCTTCTCCTCACTAGCGGCGGGGGCGGCCTCTTCGGTGCCCTCCTCCTTGACGGGGAGCTCGGCCTTGTACTTGCCGTTCTCCTTGATGAAGTTGGCGAGGTCCTCGACGGTGCGAGAGCCCTGGTAGGTGACGGGAGCGTCCTTAGCACCAGCGGGGTAGAGCTTGATGGTGGGGAAACCCTGGATCTCATCGGGAACATCGTTGAGGGTAGCGTCAACCTTGGCGATGACAACCTTGTCCTTGAACTCGGAAGCGGCGAACTGAGAAGCAAGGTCATCATACTTGGGGGCGAGAGCCTTGCAGTGACCGCACCAAGGAGCGTAGAACTCAATTAGGACATCCTTGGTGTCATCGAGGACAATGTCGTTGTAGCTCTTGGCAACGACAACAGTGACAGGGCCCTCCTGGGTCTCGGGAATGGACTCGGACTTGATGCTGGGCTCAATCTTGCCAGCGGCAAAGTCCTCAACGAACTTGGCGATGTTGTCATGTGTGATCTCCTTCTCCTGGTCGAAGGGGAACTTCTGGTTCTTCACAACCTCCTGGATGGCGAAAGAAGGGAACTTGTCAGCCTTGAGGTTCAGGTTACCGGCGTGAGCGCCGAAGGCCTTGGCGTCAATTGTGGCGAAGTTGATCTTGCCCTTGAACTTCTCAGCGATGGGCTTGAGGGCATCACCAAGCTCCTTGCGCTCCTCAGGAGTCTCGGAGAAGATGTATGCGAGGGGGATACCAGCGGACATGTAGCTGGAGTAGGTCTCGGGGCCGACCTCACCAATGAGAGGGGTGGCAGAGGTGGTGATGAAAGAGGCAATAGCATCCTCCTCGAACTTCTCGGTGAAGGTATTCTTGCCCTCATCGAAGGACTTGTAGACAACCAGGGCGGGGGCCTTGACGCCCTCGGCCTCGGCAACAGCAGCGTCGTTGACGCCACCGAATAGGTAGGTATCACGGAGACCCTCGGCGAGCTTGGAGAAGGTCTCGTTGGAGCTCTTATCATCGGCGTTGAGGTAGGCGACGACGACAACCTTGTCGGCGGTCTTGAACTCCTCGAGGGTGTCCTTTGTGAGAATGGAGACAGCGGGGAGGGACTGCTTGATCATGTAGGAAGTGATACTGTAAAAATTGGTCAGTCGAAATATCAGCTGATCATGACAGGTGTCGACTTACCCAGCAGCCTTGCGCTGGCCAGAGTAGGGAGTGACATTGTCAAGGCCACGGAAGACCTTGAGGGTGGGGTAACCCTCGACGCCCTGGTCTTTGCAGAGGTCGGACTCCTCAGTGCAGTCAATCTTGGCAAGCTTGATGTTCTTCTCCTTGAGAGTTGTGGCGGCCTCCTCGTACTCGGGGGCGAGGGCCTTGCAGTGACCGCACCAGGGAGCAAAGACTGCAGAAAGAAGCTGTCAGCGGCTGGCGGAGGGGAAGAGAAGCTTCAATGGGGACTTACACTCAGCGAGGACGAGATTGTTGGACTTGACAAACTCGTCGAAGGTGTCCTTGGTCAGCTGGTGAACATCTGAGTCGGCAGCAGAGGCATAGGCAGCCAGAGCAGCCATGAAGCTGCAGGCGATCTTCTTGTGGTGCATGATGGGCTGTCTTTTTGACGGGGTATCCTATAAAACACAAAGAGAAGGTTCCGCTGAACAGGACAGGACAGGCAATATAAAGGAAGGGGGAGGAAGAAGAGGAGGAGGAAGATTTGAGTTGGGAAGTGGAGGGAAGATCGAGGAGAGTTTTGTAGTTGGAGCTTGAGGACAGGTAACGTACATTTACACCCACATCCACAGCCGCATGTACCGTACTGTAGAGAAAACTACGGGAGGGTACAAATGGTTTGTAAAGAGGCTGGAGCCAACTAACATCAGTCAACCCCACTCGGAGACAACTCCCGCTGAGTCTTGCGCGGGCCAAAGGTGGAGGGATTGCCTGGGGGGTCCAACTCTCAATTGAACAAGTGTCCCTTTTGTTTGGTGGCACAGGATTTCTCTAGGTCGATGATCAAGCACAAACCCACAGCCCATACCGCCGGAGCACTCTAGGCACTCTGCAGACAGGCACGGCCCCTCCAAAGCGGCGGAAAGCTAGTGGGTTTCCTTACCGGGCTCTAAACCCTTTTAGGCCGAAGCGAGGGACCGTCGCTGCTTGTCATTGGGCGAAGCTGCCCTACAGGAAGCGCCAGAGCCCCTCAGCTGGTGTAGGGTCCCTCCATGGGTCCACAGGGGCAGGACAACCGCCGCCGCCGCTGAACTGCTTATGGATCATGGCTGGATCGTTAAAGAATGAGGCATTGAATGTTGGTTCTATGTGATACAGATATTTATAATCAGGTAGTTAAAAAGGATCGTGCGTGTAATAGACCAGACATCTCACTATGAGAAAGTACCCTTTTCTTTAGCTTGCCATTGTTTGTCATTGTTTATGTTGGACCATCACCAACCTACACCACATTCCCATCAAAGTTGAAACTCTGATAATGACGGATTAGGGAAGTGCAAAGAGAATTGCCCAATTAAGCTGCAATAAATACGGGATTTGATGCTCCGAAATGCTCGGAACCCCTGGCTAAATGAGATGACATTTGGAGTAAAGATTATTACAGATCAGCAGCTGTTCAATGTGGCAACACCTTTGTCCCAAGCCAAAAGGCCACGTCTCTGTGACAGCCTCCAAGGTACTAACATTGGATACTTGTGCATGTACACAGCCCAGCCTTGCCAGTGTTGAACGTGACATCCATGGATAGAGGGGTTGCTCACATAGTTAAAATGAGATGAATGGCAGGCATTTCATCATCTGCTTGTTGCTCGCTATTCTTTTCCACGAATTACCAATCCAGCCTCTAAACCATATTCTTTTGGCCTAACTCTTCTTTTCCCTTCTGACCAATCCCAGCGGCCATAGCATTCTGAGTTCTTGGACATCATTCATGCCATTCACCTTCTGAATCCACCAATGCTAGTCCAGCTTCCTAGGTACCTAGTTAGCTAAAAATTCTGTATGCAGTTGAGTCAAACATGGACAAGTGGCAATATGAGATCCCCGTGAGAAGCAAAGACATGTCATGTCACAAGAATGAGGCGAAACATGATCCCGCTTTACTCAGCTCATCAGCCCCACGGGAACGGTCAGTTTGCGGCCCCACCATGCCTCCGTCGTCACATAGGTAGTAGAGGTATGTACGGAGTACTGGACAAAACTCTCCCTCTGGGAGCCTGAAAACTCCTGATACTAGATCATAATATCAAAATACCTAAAGTACTGATAAGACATACGAAGCTCACCAAGGTCTTTTGATAACTTGGATGAGAGATATCAAGTTTCTTGCCTCCCATCGCTATCCAACTTTATCAAGTACAGGATCATCAGCTTCTGGCTTGGTGGTAATAGCCAACTAATACACGGCTAATGCTGGTGTAGGTTTTCGGTTCCAAGTCAAGGAAGGTTCAAAGAGGTCTCCAGCTTTCAAAGTCGTAGTCCTGTTCAATTCGATGCTATCTTTCTATGGCTTGATAGTGCTCAATTCTCAGTGCTTCGTGCATCATTACATGTGTCTCCCACTTCTCTACTTGCTGTGAGGTCCTCGAGGTTTAGGTGGCGCACGGTGATACTGAATCGGCCACTTGACATCAACGTTCAGCTGATGAGCCGCACTGAGAACAAAGTCGGGCTCCCTGAGGAATTGTCTTGCAGCAAGCACGAGATCAGCCTTGGGATCCTCGTTCTCCTGGACGAGTGAACGAGCAAATGGACCATCTGTAATGTAACCAACAGTTCCAATGAGAAGCTCTTTTCCATCAGCACGGACGGCATCGCGGATCTTGCCTGCCAGGTCGGTCTGGACGGTTTGATGGACCTTGATCTTTTGCGCCTTCAAGTTGCCTCCGCTGCTGATGTCGAGGACGTCAACTCCTGCGTCAGGAAGCTGTTTTGCGAGCCGAATACTGCTCTCGAGATCCCAGCAAGGTTCGTTATTCCATTCCATCCACTCAGTAGCAGAGATCCGCACCCAGACGGGCATCTCCTCAGGAACAACAGCCCGAATAGCTTCAATGATCTCAAAGAGGAGACGAGTACGGTTCTCAAAGCTACCTCCGTACTGGTCTGTTCGTTTCTGAGATCATGTCAGTTGATCAACTATTCTCAGCGACTATCAATGCTACTTACATTGGAGAGAGGGGAGAGGAACTGGTGCAGGAGATAGCCGTGAGCCGCGTGGATCTCAATGACATCAAAGCCAGCCTTGACAGCTCTTATAGCAGAGTCCTTCCATTTCTGCACAAGATGCTTGATCTCCTCAGTCGTCAACTCGTGAGGTGTACCAAAGTCTTCAGCGAACGGAATAGCACTGGGGGCGACAATATCATCTGGCCAGCCGCCGACTTCTTTGGTAGCAAGTGCTTTGTTTACAGTACCGCCGATCCAAGGCGCAACTGTGCTCGCTTTTCTGCCAGCCTGAAGGACACGTTATTTTTGAGAACGTCGAGGCTTCTCCTGGGATAGTGAACCTACATGAGCGAGTTGGATGGCAGCCTTGGTGTTTTGGCTATGGATAAAGTCTGTGATACGCTTCAGGGGAACAATTTGACTATCATCCCAGAGACCAGAGTCTTCAGGACTGATCCGACCACGAGGTTCAACGGCGGTGGCCTCCACAAAGACGAGGCCAGCACCTTGAAGGGCGAACTGGCCAAGGTGAACAAGATGAAAGTCTGTTAGATGGCCATCCTTGGCGGAGTAAGTACACATAGGAGAAACGACAAAGCGGTTCTGCACCTCAACGCCACGGGTGCGGAGAGGCTTGAACAGCGTCGGGGCCGAATCGGTCTTGAGCGGGGTTCCGGCCGGTGGCTCTTGGGCCGGGGTGAAGTAAGGCACCCCGGAGGCTGCCTTGTTCTCGATGTTTGTGTTGCCCATGGTTGTACGTGCGCTTGAGGAGTCAACTGGGCTGTCTAGGTTGACTGGGTTGTCGACGTGGCGAGTATTTATGCTCAAGTCGGATTCGATCGAGGCTCTTGACCGGGTTGCAGAATCATGCGCCGTGTTGATGCAATTCCACTGGGTTCCAAGTGTCCACCGAATCACCAAAAAATAATCACGGGATATAAACGCAATTCTAGGGGTCGCTTGTCTATCTTTATATCAAAGGAGGCAGAGAGTGGGAAAATATGGTATTTATATCACCAACAATTGATCCGTGGTCACCTCAATGGCGATCTTGCTTCTCTTTATCATGAAGAGGGTCATGGTTTGCTCAGCAAAGCGAACGATGACGTGCGAGCATAGATTTCCAGCTTTACTAAAGCTATTGCAATCATTATCGCTCCGTCGCTCAACTGTAACATCCAGCAATCGTTTCCCTCTTGGATTTCTAATGTCCAGTTTGCGAGCAAACGCTGAATAATCAAAACGGCCAAGCCGAGCCCCTCTTCTACGTCTCTGGCTGATAACGTTATCATTCAAAGTCAAGCATTCATCTCTCATATGACAGACACATTTACAAAGGAGTTCTTGTTAAATCATGTTCCTTCATCTCGATATCAAGGGCACAGAATAAGAGGCTGTCTGAATCAAATGAGGATTGTTTCTATTGAATATAAGACTTGACTGACTACTGACTACTGACGGAATATGAGTGTTTGCAACATATGCATTACTCAGAGTTAGGTCTTGCACTGAAATGACACAAAGAGACGTAAGATCGAAAGATCGAGACATTTACTTGTTGTGACATCTATTCTTTCCGTCCCTCAAGACTGGCATCTCTGAGTATCTGCATCTTCACTCTAAGTATACGAAGTAGGACACATGTAACATATCGTATGGTATAGCCACGCACCAAGGTCTTGACTCTGCATATGTATGTGTACTTTCAAAGTTTTGGTCCAAGCATCAAATAATGATCAGCAACACTACTTCGAAAACAATCAATAAAAGTCAAATGCCTGGTGCGGCAGATGCAGGAACAAGGTCAACGATTGTCAGACCCTTGGACAAGACACCGTCATCGACCATCATGGCTAAGGTATCTACAGTTGCGGCCCGGGCCGGTCTCACTCAAGACACATTACACACGTTACACATTATAGCAGGATCTGACACAAAGTTCAAGATTTCTTAAGAGTTCTTCTTCTTTTGGTCTCTACCGTATAAGACGATAGACATCTTAGTCTATTGACACGCTCATGTTGTCAAAACTCATGACATGGTCAATACCTAGGCTGGCGATCTTGACCAGCACCCAAATAATCACAACCAAAACTCCGGATATCGCTCTTCTTCAAGTTCATCGATGATATGACGACCAATTTCACTCCTCGCATAGTTCCTTCATAGGCATCTCAAGCAGCTCTCTGTCATTTTTCGACCACTTATTCCTGGTTTGTAGGCTTAAAGGTCCAGCGCTGGTTCTCAGTACCCTGAGCGAAAGGAACACCGAGTTCAAATAGTCGGAGAACAACGTCGGAAAAGTCCTTGAAGAAGACATCGTTATCCTTGGCGTACTTCTCGACCCAAGGCTTGAACTTCTTGTCCTCGATCAAGGCAATGTCGCTAGGAAGCATCATCAGAGACTTGGTAGACTTGTCTT